GAAGACCGATCTACTCAAGAAAGTGAGAACAAGAGTGTTCCCCATGGCCGTTGGCCTTAGTGCAGGAAGGAGGTGGGCCGAAGCCGAACTCGACATTCTTCGGCCTTGCGCAAGGCCAAAGCTGGGAACAGGTGACTAACAGCCGGGGAATATGAATACGCAAACTTGACTGCTACTGGGTTGGATCTTTAGACTTTAACTTTTTGGTTGAAATCAAGTTGGGTTTTCCGTACTAAACCCCCCAAAAGTGGTTCACTTCACTTTTGGCAGGGTCGTTGCAGCAACTCCAAGCAAAGAAGACAAAGAGCTCGATTCTATTCTTCGCTCGCTGTGAGAGCTTCGCTCCCTTCAGGGCTCCTTGAAAGATCTCTCCATTTTTCCTTGCCATGTGAAACATATCAAAGGGTTGCTCAAAGATCTCCAAAGGGTTGCTCCCATATCAACCCGTGTTTGCCCAAAGATCGTCAACCCCTAAACAGGGCTCCTTGAAAAATGAATTCTGTCCATTTGAAACATGTTGTTTTTCACCAGACTAAAGGGAAACCACCATTTACAAGGCAATGCTCAGGTGTTTTTCATGAGGGCCATTTCACAAAGGGGCCGTTTTTGTTGCTTGGTTTGCTTAAACAGGTCGGGCCCTGGTTTACCTGGCGGTTTTTTCTCATCTACCAGGGTAAATCCATCCTATTTTCCAAAAAGGACATGCCAAATTTCAGTTGCGAGGTGCGAGTTGGGGATGAGCCGCCCAAGGCGCGCCGATGCCCCGGATCCTGGGCAGCCCGGCGGTGCAGGAGTCGCGAGTCGCAACGCTCGGGGCCGTTTTTTGCGGCGTGGCGCGTTGTGGCTGTTGGCGGTGTGTTGTTTTAAGCTTGTTTCGGTGTAGTGTAAGTGCAGTGTAGGGTAGTGCAGTGTAGTGTAGTGTAGTGTAGTGTGTGCGTCTGTGTGTCTGTATGTCTGTGTGTCTGTGTGTGTTTGTGCGTCTGTGTGTCTGTGTGTGTGTGTGTGTTTGTGTGTTTGTGTGTGTGCGTCTTGGTTTGCAATGTTCCCTCCCCAGCCAAAAGTCTACGGTCAGAGATGCGTCCTGACTTGGGGATTGAGAATTAGGGTTGTACAAGCCACATTGGAAGTACCGTTTTTCAAAGTTGCTTGGATGTGTTGTCGCATGCCATTTGTTGTGCTTGGATATGTTGTCTCTGCACTCAGCAGCTACCATTCCAAAAACAAACGCGGAGCCTGCAAGGGGGTCCCTATTGGCCCTTTCAAGTTCTACGTTTGTTGTGGGAAGGGTACTGTAAGTTCCCCTGAGACACCGCAGCTGCAGAGAAAGCAAGCTCCTCACAGGACACTCGAAGGCAGCATACGGAGGCGCGGATCGTGAGTAGTTCCCAACAAAGAGTCTTGCCGTCCGAATCTCCATCCCCCAATTGTTGTATAGGGCGGAGGGGTTCACATTCGGGAAGGAATTGTTTTGTTGTCACTCTTTTGCCCAAAGCCAACCTTTCAACCTTGTAGATTCCCCTCGTTGGTCCATGTTGCTCATAGTCCCAACAGGTTTGCCTTTTGTCTTCGTGTCCTTTGGGCAATTTGAGTGCGATGTCGAACGTTGCCCCTGGTGCGCAACTAAACGGTGGCCCCACATTTTCCCCAAATCCATCGGGAAGGCCCGCAAGCTTCATGTGGGCACTAGACTGCCCACATGGAAGGTCGAACACGCAGCACTTATCATCAGGAATCTTCACTTCCTGAGTTGGTGGACTTTAAACTAAAGCAGCAATGTGTGGAAGAGGGACGCAATCAAGGCTTGTCAAGCTGCTGTCACACAGTTGACCTTGCTGGCTGACCTGGAACACTGGCGAGAAAACTTTGATGGTGCCATCGGGCAGATAGGTTTGCAGGTTGAGCGTAGGCAACCCGACACGCCGACATGCCCACTTGGTCACAGATGTGACCTGTGCGGCAATGAGTACTCCACCCGACAGGGGCTCTCGGCACATCAGTGGCATGCCCATCAAATTTCTTCAGAGACACGTGCATACACATATGCCTCCCACTGTGTGGTGTGTCTCGTTGAATTTCACACCTCCCATCGGGTCAATGTTCATCTCCGGGAGAACCCTCGATGCATGCAATTCTGCCTCCAGAATCTAGAGCCGCTCACAGGACCCCCGGTTCACATAAAGCTTGATAGCAGATTCAAAGGACACAAGAGGATCCCTTGCATTCTCCTGGCAGGTCCGAGACTCCCTAACAAGCTTGAGTGGAGGCAGAGTAATGCCAAAGACTATACCCCAGAAGAGATCGATCTCTTCTGGCGGGCGGCACCAGCCCTGCGAGCCCGCCGGGACACGCGCAAGCCCAACATGCCGGGCAGGAACCTGCGCAAGGCAGGACACACGCCCAATACCTCTGTACACCAAATGGATGTGATGGCTGCACAAGATGACAGCGCTAGCACCAGGTTCACTGCCCAGGCGCCAGTGGTACATCCACTTGCCATGAATTCCCAAGGGGTTCGTACATACTTTGTGCTTCACCTCTTCTCTGGCAGAGACCGTGAGGGCAGCATGCGCCGCCATCTTGAAGAAATGAGTGTAGGGCAGCCATTTCGCATCTTTGTCATTTGCCTTGATGTAGTCCATAATGCAAAGTTATGCAACCTTGCTTCTGATGAGTTGGTTGCAAAAATCCTTGTACTCATCCGTAGTGGCCACATTCTAGGTGCACAGGCAGGACCACCATGTGAAACATGGTCACGTGCCAGGGAGGTGAAGCTAGCAGATAAGCCCAATGCGCCACGCCCACTCAGGAGTGCCCATCAGCCATGGGGACTCCCCTCCCTACGTTCCAAGGAATACAAGCAACTACAGATTAGCAACAAACTCCTGCAAACTGCACTGCTTGTTGTTGCACACCTGTACGCAAGTTGTGGGGTGACCATCACAGAGCATCCCGGTGAACCCCCGGAAGCACGTCTTCCTTCCATATGGAGGCTTGCTCAGGTGAAATGGCTGTGCACCCTTCCTGGAGTCGAAAAGGGGCGAATACATCAGCGCCAGTGGGGCCAGACAGCTGAAAAGCCGACTGACCTGTTGGTGACCCACCTGCCAGGTTGGGAGCGAATCCTCGCATCAACATAACGGGGAAGCTTTTTGCACCGCACGGTTGAAGGAATACCCTCCTCTCTTGTGCAAAGCATTTGCCAAGTGCTTCTGGATCAGTGCTCAGCTCAGGGAAGCCACGCAAACTGATGTTGCTGAGATTCCCTCCCAAAGCATGCTCACTGAGTATGCCAACATGCCGCTGGCACAAGAAATTGGGCCGGACTATGCGGCTGGGGTAGGCACATGAAAGCATGTGCTTAATTAATGCAATCGCTGCGTTCGACAGAACTCTGTGCGCATGGAATGGAATGGAAAGACAATTTTTGTGGTAAATAAAAAGTTCAAACTTTTTTTGGCCAGTCAACTTGGGAAGTGAGAATATGATGTTACCGTTTCCCGCTTTACAATCGTTTAGAACCGTGCTGACAAACAGTGAGTCACCCGTCATGACATTTCTAGGTCCCCCAGTAGTTCCCTTTTACATCCTTTTTTGGGGGAGGGTTTTCCTACTAAAATTGACTACAGAAAAAAGGTGGCGCCAACTTCTTCTAACCTCTCTACTGGAGTACCTAGATGTGTGCCCTTGCTCTAAAATGGCGATGCTTTCAAAGATTCGATGATTATCCGAGGTTTGGGGTGCAGACGAACCGCACCTGCGTCGCGCAGTCACCACTTGCCAATACCTGCACAAAACGCCGGCAGGATCCGATGCAACAGAAACAAACGTTTCACAGTATCCCGCTTCCATTTGCTGAGACAAATTTCCCCTGTTGGTTTTAAAGGGGAATCTATCACTACTGGATTTTATTGTTTTTTTTCCCAGGGGTCTTAACCAAAGGGAAGCCCGGTGACCAACTTGGCTGTGTACTCAATTTATTCAGTGGCAATGTAGTGGCGCTCTAAGGACCCCTCCCCATTTCATTTGGCTGGTGAGGGTAGACCCCCTCTAAATTCAAGTTGGGAACGGGCAGGTGATCACGTCGGCCGCGGACCGTGCGGTCCCCAGCATGGCGAGTGGAAAGAAAAACCGAGAAAAACCATCAAACCTATGATTTCCTTCAAGGGAATCCCCAAACGGTATAAAGAGAGAGCTTTTGGAGCTACCAGGGGTTCGGTCAGGACCTGGTAGTTTCTCACTTGTTCAAAGCGAATCAAATGGTTTTGACCTGTTGTTTTTCACCACTTGGGGCCAGATTTGTAGTGCATTCCAAAGGTTCACCTGAAAGATGTCCAGGTTCTTTGGGCAGATTATATGTTTGAGATATGCATAAGCCACTCATAGGTACGGCCCACTGTAGCCTGCCCCATCAAGTAATTAACTGCCTCATTCTCCTCAAGGCGCGCGAAGCTCCGGTGGGTTTGTTCAGGATTGCTCCCTGCGCCCCACCCACAAATCCTGTGTGATGATCGGGTCAAAAAAGAGCAACCCTGCCATGCTGCCCACACATATTTTAGTAGGTAACCAGTAGCTTGCTTTTGGTTTTTAAAATTTTAAATGGTGGTTCCCTTAGTTAGCTACTTTGGTGTGAATGAATCCACTGGGACAGTCAGATGTACAGATATGGGCGGCTGCAGCTTTTTTTCGCCCACTTACTCTGGCAGGAGGGCGCCAGATGGATTCTTCGCGCGTGAGAGCGAGCACGCCTGGAAGCTTCCATTGGCTGAAATGTGTTTGTTTTATTGTTGTTGGTAAAGGAAATCTCTCACTACTGCAAAAATTGTGTTGTTGTTTCTTTCCTGGGGGACTCGAGCAGATGGAGGACCAGCTCCTTCTCTTGGGCCTCCATGAGGGCATGTTCTACAAGGAAACACGTCCTTCACCCCCGCCTTTGGCTCACAGGGCAACAGAGATCTTAGTAGCGCGTGGCAAGAGCGCGCGGGGCAAACTGCGCCGAACCCATGGCGCCCCAGGCGTTTCACGCGCTGCAGGCACTTGGGCAAGAGCAATCAGCACCCCACTGTGGTGATCCGTGCAAGAACCTTTGTCCGACATTTCGCAGTGAGAGGGGCTGGTTTGTCCCGTGAACAGGCTGCTCGGACAAGACACGCACACACACTGTTTAGTGTTCTTTGAGGAAACTGAAGGGCAATAATGTAGACTGAATGTGGGAAACAGCAAAGATGTGGGCAAAGTATTTTACGAGCTCGCCTGGTAGAACAAGCACGCCCATGATGAAGGTCCTTGCTAGGGGTCTTAGGATTGGAAATATAGGAACTTGCCCCAGAAAGACTCAATGCAACTTGGACAACAGCAAGCAAATAAAACAAAGTCAGCAGCTGAAGATCAGCGTCTTCGGCAACTTTTGCGTTCGACCCAAGCACTGGAAGATTCTGGCAAATATTTGGTGGATTTGGGTGTTTTTGTTGAGGGTACCCTTATTGGTTGGTTCTAAAAGGAAACACAATGATTCGGGGTCCCCGAAGAAAAGAGACACCTATGTAGTGTGTGTTGCATTTTAAGGTTTGCAACATATGAGCCTGAGACTCAACATGTCGTTTTGGGTTTGGGGGCCCAAGCTGAGCTAAGTTCTTATGGTTATGTGCTTGCATCCTTGTTTTTTTGTTCGGGGCAAGTTCTTTTTTGGGTATGGGTCAAAATTAAACCACCAGGGAACCGGATAAGTTTTAGTCCATGCTTCCATTTACCAGGTTTCATTTTGGTGTACCTATTTTGGAATTTGGGGGTTCAAGATGCAACAAGTTCTTCTGACATGGCCCGGTTGGCTTCGGTGCAGAAGATGCTTTCGCCTGGAGGTCTTCAGCGCGCCGGAGGAGGTGGCGCTGCTGGGGCCGGAGGAACGAGAGAAGACCATCCAGCGCCTGGATGACGGTTTCCACGTTAGGTGCGCTTTTTTTTTTTTTCTAAGGGTTGGTTTGGCTTGGATTGGGTTGGTTTGGATTTGTGTTTTTGTTTTGTTTTTTTTGTTTTTTTTAAGGGTTGGTTTGGCTTGGATTGGGTTGGTTTGGTTTTTTTGTTTTTTTTTAAGGGTTGGTGTGGCTTGGATTGGGGTGGTTTGGATTTGTTTTTTTTTGGGGCTTTTTTTAAGGGTTGGTTTGGCTTGGATTGTTGGTGTGGCTTGGATTGTTTTTTTTTTGGTTTGTGTGGCTTGGATTGGGTTGGTTTGGATTTGGTTTTTTTGGGAGCTTTTTTTTATTAAGGGTTGGTTTGGCTTGGATTGGGTTGGTTTGGATTTTTTTCTTTGTTTAATATATATTATTTAAGGGTTGGTGTGGCTTGGATTGGCTTGGTTTGTTTTTTTTGTGTTTTTTTTTTGTTTAAGGGTTGGTTTGGCTTGGGTTGGTTTGGATTGGATTTGGATTTGAAGCCCTGGCTTTTGTAGAGGCTTCATGGAAAACTCCTCCGATTCACCACCAAGCGACCGGGCTCCAAACCACCCGTTTCGAGGGAAGCTGAGTTCCTGGAGGGTGAGGATCAGGCGTTTGAAGGTAACAAGAAATTGGTTTCAAAACAAGATCCCCTTTTGGGTCAATCCACTGAAGAAGTGAGCTGGGCTGTTCGGAGGCTATCCTTCAGCCTTGCCTTGGGTTACTAGTTACGCAAGGATTTGGCCCCCTTTGTGGTGGCTTTCCAGTACAAATTATAAATTCGGATTGGCCAACACTGCACGTTGAACAGGTCAGTTTGATTTGTCCTTTGCTTAGGCGTTTTCCCATTTACCCTCTACAAGGACTAGGAGTTCAATACCCAAACCACAAACTCGAACCACCGACTACCTGCTGGTTCTCAGCCGGAGTTGGAAAGAAAACCCGAGAAAAATCATCCAACATATGGTTTCCTTTAAAGGGAATCCCCAAACAGTTCACTCCCAACACCGTCTGACGGTGATTCCCTACCTCTCGGGGCCGGGTACTCACTTCCCGAGTTGGATCCGTCTGGATATGGATCTGGTGGTTTTGTTGCCCACGTTTTTTTCTGCAACTCAACCATGGCGACACTTTGGTGTATTTTGCTTGGATGTTAGGACTTTAACTTTTTGCCGACTAATGGGTTTTCCATTAAACCACTAAAAGTTAAACTTTTAGCAGGGGAGCAGAAAGCAACCGAGGACAAGCCTGTCCATTGTTTGAGAAATCTCTTGTGGGAGGACTTTCAGTGCGGGCTCCACGTGTGTTACATCGGAGTAGGCCGGAGGACATTTCTTGAGATGAATTGGTTCCAACAAACGAGACTTGCCTCCCCTGAAACTGCAGGTCCCTACTTCCTCATGACTTCGCCTCCCACTTCCCCAGAGTTTACTGCTTAGTACTTCTCCGGACGATGTTTCTTGCTGGTGCAAACGTCTAGGCTTTGACCAATCCACCAGGCCTCCCATTCGGCAAAGAACTGGTTGCTAAGGAAGCTGATCAAGAGCACTGGACCAGAAGGCTTCCCGCCGCTCTCGCTGACAAGCCAGGCGCCGCATTTTTTTGATAGGTTGGGACACATTTCGGTCTTTGAGTGGCAAATGAAGAGGTTGTGTGTGTGTGTGTGTGTTGGGCCAATCCCCTCGGGAAGTGACAAAATTATGCACCAGCTAAGAAGCCCTGGAATGGTTTGCTTCCCAATAAATACCAACAAACCTTATGGTTTCAACCATGGCTTTTTAGGTGGTGAGACATGGATTTCGCAACCATCCGCAGTCTTGTCAGCTCTGGCTCGTTAAGGCCAAGGCTGGCTCACCCTTGCTCCGCTCAGGCAGCCATCAGCATGTCAGAGGAGCTGCTGGTGATGCTGGTGACTCGGCGCGCGACCGTGGACCATTTGGGAGGAACCAGGTGAGGTTCAGTCCGCGGTCCATTTGGGGTTCAACCCCCATCAAAAGAATGGCATTGGGATCCAAGTTGCATGAAGTTCCTTAGGCACATAATGGTGGTTATATAAACCCCTTTGATGAAATGGTGGTTTGGGAGGGACATCCCTAGAACTATTGGACATGTGTAAGAGACAAAGCTTCTGCCAAAGACCTTCAGCAAAGCGTGGAGCGTACGTAACGCACATCCCTTCGTGAATTGCTCTATTGGCAATAGCCTGCAAGCCTGCAGTGAAACCGGTTTTACACCCCGCTTTGCCTCAATATATTTGTGCTGCCCGAATGGAGGATGATCATTTGTCAGGATGAAATGTGCTTCACCAGAGTTATAGATGGGGGCTAACCGGAGGTCACGAACGGCTTAGCTACTGTGGATGGACGAAATCCTGCACCGCTTTGAAACCATGGGAAACCATGGTTTGTTGGTATTAGGGGTATCGAATCAGTTTATGTGTTTTGTCCTAGGGTTTTACGCAGATGGAGGGTTGGTTGTATGGCACCCCAGGTGATGTTTATCTGGATGGGCGGCCCGCTGTTCATGTTCTTCGGCGGGCTGGCGGTCTTCCTGCTAGGAACTTGGCCTGTGAAGGCAGGCTTGGGTTTAAAACGACGCGCTGGTGACTAAGATGTGATGGGGCGGCACCTGTTTTTTGGAGTTGGCACCTCTTTGTTTGTAGGGGGGAGGGGTACGTGAACCCTCCTAGAGAAACGGGCGCTGGGGGTACCGCCCAGCGCGGTTGGCCACCCCCTCCTCCAAAAAAAACAACACAAGCGGAAACAAATGGGTCCGTCTGAAAAGAACAAGTCTCGGAACCTCCTGTTTGTGTTCCCTGGGAAAACCAACAAAGAGAGAAGGACCAGCCGTTTGGTGGGAAGAGTCTGGGTGAATTATAACGACACCGAATTCACCCCAAATGGTGGTTTATGTGGGGAATAGCCCCCCACCTTGTTTCAGGCTGGTGAATCATTACTTGACTGCTATTGGGCAACGGATCTTTAGACTTTAACTTTTTGGTTGAAATCAAGTTGTGTTTTCCTTACTAAACCCCCCCAAAAGTGATTCACTTTTTGCAGGGGGGTCGTTGCGGCAACCAATACTGTGGATGGACAAAACCCCGCACCACCTAAGAAACCCTGGAATGATGATTCTCATGTAAATACCAGCAAATTATGGTTGCAACCATGGTTTCAAAGTGGTGCGAAATGGATTTCGCAACCATCCACAGTATTATAATTCACCCAGAGTCTCAAATGACACAAACCGCGTTGCGGTTCTTCGCCAGGCGGCCTACGTGACGCTGGCCGCCTTCTTGGCGTATCACCCGATGCTCGCTTCGTGTTCAGCACCCATTTCCTCCATTTGCTGAAATGAATGTTTTTTCATATTTTTCGGTTTAAAAAGGAATTCATCACTGGATTTGTTTTGGGGGCCTCAACCAAATGGAAGATTTTCACCCCAGCCGTTGGTACAAGGCAGAAGGCTCGCCATATTAATCTGGCGCCGGAGCCAAATATGATCTCATTTGTGAACCAAAGCGAATTGACCGGATTTGGATCTGACCTTTTGGTTTCCCCTGTTTGGGTTCCCATTAATTATTAGTCATGGCCCTAAAGAGTAGTCACCTTCATTTTCCAGGTCCTTCGGGCGACTGAGTGATCATTCCTGTGTTTCGGGACGAGCAGCTGATTTGTTCTGTTTTTCTGCCAGCTAGTGAGTTTGTGGGCGAAATGAAGCAACACAACATAAGTCTAGAGTTTGATTCCCCATTCTTTTCAAGCATGGTCCTTTCCAAAAGCCGGCCGTTTTCCCTGGGTTTCCGGAGGTTTTGTAGAAAGAAGGATCCATGGAAAGAATGGGGAAGGTGCCCCTAGAGCAAGGAGAAACTGAGCTCAATATGTAGGTTCTTTGCTTGGGAATCCGATTCTGGACTCAGATTCCGCAGTTCTTGTGAACAAATGCAGTTACCCTCCCACCAATTGAGATGGAACCTGGCAGGGGGGTCCTGGAAGACAATTTTCTTTTTAAAGGGGCCATGTCCCTGTCAGGTTCCCTGTAATAACTTTCCTATCCAATAGATGACAGGTAATTCCAGGAATGAAACGAATCCGGAAAGAATGGGATTCTTCTTGGCATAACATTAAATCCTAAGAAATGCATTGGGGAAAAGGTAAGAATAATAGCAATACATATTAAATTACAATGATAAAGAGAGAGTGTACACGAGGATGAAGGTAATAAATTCTTAGTACCAACAATATTTTCTCCATTGGAGATTATTCCAGAGAAGATAGCAATTATAGCTCCTAAAGAAAGAACAAAATGAAAATGTGCTACAACATAATATGTATCATGTAATCCTAGATCCACTGCAGCATTTCCTAGAATTATTCCTGTTGACCCACCTATAGTAAACATTAACAAAAAGAGAAGAAAGAAGAAGACGGAAGTAATTCTAAGGTGTAATAAAGATGGATTGGAGAGATATGTAAAAAGCCAACTAAAGATTTTTGTGCCAGTTGGTAAAGATATTAAGATTGTAACTCCTGTAAAATAAGCTCTTGTATCACTTTCTAAACCTACAGTATACATATTGGGAGGGTAAATACGGTGGATGCCCAACATGTTGCAAGACAACCCAGGCTACTTCATTTGCTTAAGGGTATGCATTATGTTCCCCTGTTGGTTGTAAAGGGAATCTATCTCTGGGCATTTTTCCCAGGGGGCGAAAAGCAGACAGAATACTCTAGTTGTCCTGGCTGGTTTAAACACATCACGTGACTCGTTGCTACTTTCCCCACTCCGGGGGTCGGGTTTTTCAGGTCACTCAAATCGGCCAGTGAAGAAACAACGTGTGTTGCCTTTTAGGGCAATATGTTTAGCCCCAAAACAAATGTTGCAAGAAAACCCTGCACCACGTAAGGAACCCTGGTTCCTGATCATTCCCCTGTAAATACCCACAAACGTCATGAGTTCAGCCATGGCTTCAAAGCGGTGCGAACGAAGTTGGTGTTCATTCTTGCCACTCACCAGCAGTAAGAGGTAGGGATGCATCTAGCATAGTTGCCAAGACATCTACAAAAGGTACAATTGCTAGAGCTGCTTTATCACGAAAGCTAGCTGTCCGGGAGTTATCTAGGCTTTAGCTTCTTTTAGGGGCTGAGCTTCCCATGCCTGATTTAATCACCCGCTTCTCAAGTATAGATGTATTTCCTGGCGCCCGGAACGATTCGAACGAGTCAGCCAGGATGCCGGGGAAGGCCTTTACTGCGGCGCTGATCCGCTCGCAGTTCACCCGGGCGCTCTACAAGTACTTCTCCTACCGCTTCGCCGCTCTGGTTGGGTCGGGTTCAGGTCACCCCGTTCTTTTCTGGAACCCAACTAGGTCCCCCAGCAATTGGTGCCTTTTTACTGTTTCTTTTTTGGGGGGAGGGTTCCCCCTACTAAAATAGACTATAGAATAAAAGAGGACCCTTATTCTAACTGGGTTCCAAAATCAGGTTACCCTTAGTTGGTGGTTTGGATTTGGATTTGAACCCAGCTCAGCTCGGAAAGTCAGAGCAGCTTCCCCATCGGGAGATCCACAGAACAGGGTCCAACCTTCAGGGAAGGTGAGGAGAATTGGGAGTGATCCCGCCATGTTTCATCAGAACTTTCATTGCTTCGGGGGCCCCTCCTGGGGTCACGTTTGGGCATTTGGGCACGCGACCTTTGGGTCTTGATCTTTCAATTGCTTGGGAACAAAATTGGACGTTTTCCGAGGGACAAAAGCTGCCAGTGAATTCGTCCCAAATTTGCAAAGAACGGACTGCCCCCTGGTCCGATTCACCCCCCTCCCATGCAATGTAGCCCCTTTACTCTGTTTCCTGTGGGCGGGGAGCTTCCTGAGACAAAATTGTGATGCCCCCCCCCTTGCAGGATTTTGGTGACCGCATTTTCGAATGGTGATTTGGTGAGCGAATCCAATTCGCATCCATAGGATTTCTGCGTTCTTCTTTGTTGCATGGCCATGGACTAGACTGAGCAAAGTTTATTGGGCTCTTCCAAAGGCCCGTTCACCCAAGACCCCAGAATTACCAACTTTAAGTGACGATTCGCTTTTCTAGACTAATTACAATTCAGTTGCTCCAACTAAGTTGAGCACTCGTTCAGCACTTTTCAAGGAATCCCGTGGAGCATCAAACATGGGCGTGCCTCAAAATAGGGGCTCCCTTCCCAAAATATCCCAACACGGTGTTCTTGTTTTCCTCTTGGTCTTCCTATGTTGGTTCTCGTTATGATGATCATTATGGTTCCTATGTTTTTCCTTCTGGTTGTTTTATGTTGGGTTCCTTCTCCCCCCCCCCCCCCCCGCCAAAGAAATATGTTGGTTTTGTTTCTGCTTGCGCTTACTATCAACAGGGCATCCCTTCCCAAACATATGTGGGTTTTGTGTTCCTCTTGGTTTTCCTATGTTGGTTCCCGTTATGATCATCATTATGGTTCCTACGTTTTTTCCTTTTGGTTGTTTTATGTTGGGTTCCTTAGAGAAAGAACAACAAGAATCATGGGGGCTGGGGGGGAGGGAGGGGGGCCCAAATAAGCCTTATTAAGCCCTTAATACGGCCCTTATTTAGGGCTTATTTGGGCTCCCTCCCCCCCCCTTCCCTCCCCCCCAGCCTCCATGATTTCTGCTTGGTCAGTGCATTTTAGGTCACCCCAGAAGTACCCTTCGGGCCCATTTTGCGCCTCTCCTTTTCGCCGGGCGGCCGAGCGAGGTGTGGTGCGACGACCAGGCGGAGTTCGCGCGCGCGCACGGGCCTTGGATCGGCACGGGGCCGCCGCACGGGGTGCTGCCCTTTGCGAACCTCATCGGCCCTTCGGACGAAAGCTGGCGGGAGGGGAGGGGAGGAGAGGAGGGGGGTGGGGGGGGGCTGGGGCGGGGTGGGGGGGTGGGGGGGATACGTGGAAAGGGGGGTCAGAGTCGATTTTGCCACCTGTTGTTTAGGGCATGGTCCTTTTTAGGGTTTGGGTCGGCAATATAACATCTAAGTGTCCATGGCACAGAGGTTGGGCGGTGTGGGGTTCGGAGGAGGGAGAGAGGTGTTTCCTAAGGATTGTTTTTTTGCTGGTTCTGGGTCTTCCGGGTGGCTTGCCTTGTGTAAAGGAGAACAAGGGAGAGGAGTTGACTTGTCCCTTTTGAGGAGACAAGGAAATGGTGTTCGTCTGATGTAACTTGGCTGGAAGGATGGCATAGGGGACATTACCTTCATTCACCCTCTCCTGCACTCTCGAAGTATCGTGCAAAAATATGTCCATCTACAAAGGCACCATATGCAGATCCATACATTATACAACTATATATATATATACATGTACACGTATTGATGTATTCATTAGCTGCACCCACGGGCGTTTTCTCCGCGCCCCGGGTTTTTTCCTCGAACCGAGGCATCCCAGCGATCAACACCTTCCTGGGGTGCTCCTTCATCGGCACCGCGGCCTCCGTGGTCTTCCACACCCCGGTGCTGAGGCACCTCCGCCTGGCGAGCGCGCGAGAAGGGGCCCGAGGGGACGTCGAACCGAAGCTCCCAAGCGAACAACATAGGAGTCAAAGCCCAAGAGTTTCGGTCAGACAAACATGTTTTGTTATATTTGTTATATATTTATATTTATATGTATACATCCTATAATATATATATATATATTTACGTTGCTTAGACACCTCCATGATGACACATATATTATATATATATATAGATATACAAGTATCATGTGGTTCCCGTAGATTAGCTAGTCTCAAAGTCCTGCAGCGACTTTAGCAGGGGCACTTTCACCCACCGATAGTCTCAAAATCCAAGTGGTTCAGTTCTTCCGGTCCATGTTTGTTTGCTCGGCTCGAGGCATTCCTAGATTATCAAAGCCAGGTAGAAGGCGAACGGCTTTTTTTTGTTTGGTGGGGTCCGCCCGAACAAGTCGAATCAACCAAGCAAGACAAAGTGACGGGGTCAAAGTCGGCCGGGAACTTACAGACAGCCTCGTCCGCTATGGGTCTACTGAGAAACCTCAGAAAACCCTTTAACCCGATGAGCCTGTTCTATTTTGCTTCTGTCCACTCGCGGCTTGTTTACGTTGGAGTGGGGCTCTCCGACTCGTTTGTTTTCTCCCCGGGCTCGCAAGCCGCCAGCGCCAGGTATATGACCCTCTTCGGAGTTGTCACGGTGGATCGGAAATCCATTGTGAAGGCGAGGACTTGAAATCGAAATCGATCCTCTTCCCAAGGCGCAAAGGCGCGAATCGATCTGACATGAGGTTTCCCCCTTGAGTTCATGTCATGGCCCCAACCCCTCCCTGGACCTCCCAGTGCCCCCCACAATGTCACAAAATGCCTGAATACGGCCTTAGGTGTTGGGCAGACATGGGGAGGGCCTCAAAAGGTAGACCTTTGATTTGTGGGTCTAAAAGACCAACGATTTTCTTTGAAGTGGCAAAGTAGCATACGGCCGTAGGTTTTGGGCAAACATGGGGAGGGAGGGGAACACAATTCGGTTTTTTGATTTCCACACCCAGGCCCACTTGGCACCCAAAGTTCTCTGGGTTAGGTGAACCTGAATTGTTGGTTTGGAAGAGTGACTTGGGGATTTTGAACCTTTGCAAATGGGAAACCGCGCGCATCGAACGATTCCAAACCGTTACTTAGAGGGAAGCTGAATAGAATTCAAGGGACGGTACTCGAGTTGCGTCTAACGTACAAGCCCCCGAAGTGAAGTTAGCTCAGTTGTAAGTAGGTTATGCCCTGGGAAGTTCAATCCATCATCAAAATTGATTGGCTTAATATAACCACCATTCTTGACGCTTCAGGAGTAACTCATCATCCAAATTGTGTCAACCATTACTTCAATGCGGACTATAGGGTATGAAGTTCCCTTAAAGTAGTGGAGTTAGCTCAATGTAGGGTATGACCTATAGATAATAACCACACTCCGAACCCCCCGGCAGTGCAGGAGATCCAGCGAGGAAACTGCGTGGGCATCGTGCCCGACGGCGTCGCGGGCATCTTCCGAACCAACCGCCACAAGGAGAAGCGACTTCGTGTGTGTGCGAGTGTGTTTTTAAAGGACGTGCATCATTAAAGGGAAAGCAAAGGGATTATTTGTTGGGAGCGGGGTCGCCTATTTTAAGACGTTCCCATGTTTGCTGCGCAAATGTGTTTTGCTGGAATTCGGGTTGCAACAAGGCCTTAGCAAGGCCCGGTTGTGCCAACCCTTTTCCTGGGAATTTGTGCTAACTGTACCTCTTGACTTAGCTTGGCTGCTATTCTCAGTTGCCAAAAGCGAATCGATTCTTTGACCTTTCGGTTTTTCATTCTGGGTCCTTTGGGCAGCTTAGTATATTTTTATTTGCTTGGGTCTGAAACCTTTCACGTATCGGGGAAATGTGCGCTTTGCTACCCCTCAAAAAGTGACACTTCTTGCGCAGGGGGGAAGTAAAAAGCTGCGATTGCCATGCCCCCGCCCCTGATTGGGACAAAAGCTGGAGTAGTGAGTGGGGAGTTTGCTTTAATAGCATTTTCACATGTCGGCCATATTTCGTGTTGGTGGCTGGTGAGAAGCCCTGCACTTTCTGGCACCAACCTTTGAGTGACCTACGTAGCCCTCTTGTAGGGTGTATTTCCCTTTTTGCAGTGGGGAACGTCTCCCGATTTGGGCTCCCATCCGCTGAAAGCTTTGGGGGGTTTGAATTATGAGCCCAGTTCCAGAAGGGATTTTTGGGGGGTTGGGGATGAATACCTGGGCGTATTTTCTCGCCAGTTTCTCAACATGGATGGAAACCTTGTTTTGGTTTCAAAGGGAAGCACTCAATCTGAAAACCTTCTATTTCCAGAAAAAAAAGAACAGAAAAAACACATATCGTGTTTTTCCGGGGCATGACATGTTTTGAGGTTCTTGGATCTCCTGGTCGTGGGATACGCCTAATCGAAGGGTTTTTGCGGGGGTGGTTGAAGCTGCCCGCTTCGGAACCCGTCGGGGGAGTTTCCGAAGGAGCTGCTGGCCATGAAGGACAAGAAGCTCGGCGTTGTTTTTTTTCCACTCGGCGAGTTCTTTCACTCGGTGCCCCAGCAGGTGGTGCCCTGTTTAACCCCTTTTTTTGGTTGAAAAAAAGTTCCACTACTACAATAGACTGCTGCAAAAAGGCTACTTTTATTCTAAGCCCTCTACTGGAGGACCTTGTTTCATTTGCTTAAGATGGTTCTTTCATTTTCCCCTGTTGGTTGTAAAGGGAATCTATGACTACTGGACATGCTGTCCTTTTTTGCCTGGGGGCGAGAAAGCAAATGGACGACTCTAGTTGTCCTGGTTGGTTCGAACACATCACGTGTTTGGTTGCCATTTCCCCACTTTGCGGGTAGGGTGTTTTAACCTCACCCAAATCATCCCAATCGGCCAGTGAACGTGTTGTGTGGGTTGCCTTTTGTGGCGATGTTTTAACCCCAAGAGGAATGTGTTTCCCTTTGTTGGGTGTCCCTTTCAACACATTCATCCAAAAAGGGGGTTTCCCCTACAAATCGAAAGCATGTTTGTTTTTTTTCCCCCGGCGATTGGTTTCTGATGAATGAGAAACGACACGGATCCCCAATCCGGGGAGCCCAAAAGTGCAAAATGTTCTAGTCAAACTTGTGACTTCCTCGTAAGCCAACCTGGTAAGGGGGCACCCTCAAAAAACTCACATCCTCGAAAACCTGTTTATGCTTTTGGGTCGGCTCAATATGAACCAGAATTTCCTCCATACATCATGTTCAGTGCGCCGCAGTTGCGCCAAGATATGTCAATGGATGTGCAATTTGCGGGGGGGGGGGGGGGGGCGGGGTATGGGGAGGCTATCCCTGGAGCCCAGGATGTGCCCTTAACGGAATACAGCATATCCCCCCTTTAGCCTTTGGGTCCGTGGGCCCATGAAATTGGTTCGTTGTTTTTTAAGGATTTGGTTCGTGATAAAACACGACATTTTTTGACAGGCCAAGACAAACAACGGAAACCAAAAACATCTAAAATTGAGGAAGGGCGTTGCGCGTCTGGCGCTCAAAACCGGCACCAACGTGCTGCCGGCCTACTCCTACGGCAACACGGCGGCCTTTTCCTGTTGGCGGCTCGGACCGCATGGTCAACTGACTCAGTTGCCCAAAGGGAATCGACCTAAGCAGGGCTCCTTAAAAGACCTCGCCATTTTGCCCGCCCATTCGAAACATGTGGCTTTTTCAACACCAAAATAAAGAAATGGAAACCACCAGTTGGTGAAATGAATGTGTTTTATTTGTGTTTTCCCTGTTGATGTTTAAAGTAAGTTGATTTCACTACTGGAAATATGTTTTTTTGTTTTTTTTTTTCCAGGGGACTTAAGCAAACGGAGGTCTTGGTTTCCTCTTTTTTTGGCTTTTTGGGCCATTTTGAGTCATGGCCCCAAAAAGGTGACCACCTTTGATTTGTAGGTGCTTTGGGCAGCTGAGCCCAATATTGACCTCGGATTCATCCGGCGGACCCTAGTCAAAACAAACCTCAAAGCTAGATTTGTTTGTTACCAACAGGGGACCCAACCCTGATTAGTGCGGTCCTCAATCCGAAAATCACGTTAGTATGAAGGTTTTGGGCTTTGGCTCCAGAACATCCGAGTAGTGTAAGCTTCGGAATTAAGCGAGGGGTCGCAAGGTCCACTAGGTTTCTAATCAGGGGGATTGCTTGGATTAGTTGATCAACATGAATCTTCAACATTTACCAGCAGGGTTGGTTCGAGATGACTGTTGACCCCGGATTAATAAAGCTCTGTTTACTAATATGGGGGGTGTTCCCCTCCACAAGTGAGCCACAATCGAAACCCGGGTAGATGAAGGTTAGTAAGGGGCAGTCCCAGCCGGAAATAGTTGCGGCCGCCTTTCTATTTCTTTACATGGTTATGGGTTCACAATTCTTGTACCAGGTTTTGATTGTGACTCAAGTGATGAATCTCCACTAAGACCAGGAACACCTGCATATTCATCAACAGGGATCCGGGGTCAACATTGGAGCAAGTCCGAGCGATTGAAGATTTCCATCTGAAGTCTGGAAGTCCGTATGTGCTTGCTGTTTGCTGGTGCCAAGGCTGATCTTGAAAAGGGCCCTTTAGAACCAGGTCCTCAACCACCCCCCGCCCAGGCCCGACTTTGTAGCTTCAACATGGGTCAAGTGGACGCCCGGCAGCTGACTCTTCACCCCGATCAAACCCAGTTTTCCTTGAAACAGACGCCCTCTCACCCTCAAGGAAACAAGAACCCCTCACTCCCCCTCATCCCGCCCAGATCCCCCCCCCAGACCACCTGACTCACCCCCCATATCCCCCCCCCAGACCCCCTCACCCCAGAAGCCGAAAACCCCAAACCCGCGCCAGCCCCCCCAGAAGTTTTTGAGACGCTCAGGTACGACCGCTGGGGCATCCTGGAGTCGGTGTCCCGCAAGGCGCAGGCCTCGCTCTTCCTCTACTGGGGCCGCGGTTTTTTGCCCATCCCCCGACGCGTGCAGATCACCATGGCCTTTGGCAAGGAGCGGGGCTGGTTGGGGTGGGAGGTGGGGTGGGCCTGGGGGTGGGGGGTGCAAGGTGGGGTGGGGGGTGGGAGGTGGGCGGGGGGAGGTTTGGAAGTTTGCCCCCGTTCCGGGGGTGCTGGGAGTGGTTCTTGTGCTGAAAAAAAAAGAAGTTGCAATGAGTTTTGTTTGATGATATTTCCTTTTCAGCCAGTCACCCTGCTTAGTGTGGGTAGTTATACCCGGAAAGCCACAACCCCCCAAACCGTTTAAAGCAGCTAGGTGATCGAGGTGGCGAAAGTGGAGAACCCCAGCGAGGAGGAGGTGGATGCCTGGCGCGAAGTCGGCCCGTTGGCCTTCCTCGGGCTGTTGTTTTCTTGGAAGGGCTCCTACTGTGGATGGACGAAATCCATTTCGCACCACCCAAGACACCATGGGAAACCATTGTTTGTTGGTATTTACAGGGGATCATATCATTCTAGGGTTTCTTAGGTGGTGCAGGATTTCGTCCATCCACAGTAGGTCCCCCAGCGATTGGTGCCCGTTTTAGCCGATTCTTTTTTGGTTGGGAGGGGAACCCCCCTATTAAAATGGACAAAAAAGGAAAAAGTTAGTACCAACTTATTCGGAGCTCGCAAATCTGGAGGACCTAGGATCAAAAGGTTCCACCGTGACGTCGAAGGTCCAGGCAACCGAAAGGCTTCAACAACAAGGGTGGTTTGCTTGAGGGTGCCCTTGTTCTGACGTTGTTTTTTGTCGCACTTCCTGAAAGAATCCACACGATTGGGCGCTCAAGCCCAATCAAATAATCACTGATTTCAGGCCCGAATAATTAATCCAGCATTTTCTCAGGCGCGTTCAAAAGTCAAAGAGTCAAGCTTCAAACAGGCTCCAGAAGGTTCAAAAGCACAAGCTTAATTTCCGCTTGTTACACTTCTTCTTTGATCCTTCTGAGGAAATGTTTGCTTTTTCTTCTTCTCTTTTCTTTTGGAAGAGGGGTGGTTTCGCTCCTCCACTTTTTTCCATTCTGAGAGACGAGAAACACGCCCGGTTTAAGCTTGATTTCCGGTGTTACATTTCAGTTAAATCCGTCGAGGATATTCGCATGTTTTGGTTTGGGGGGGAGAGACACGCCCTCCATTTGCTTAAGAATATGTTTTGTTTTCCCTTGCTGTAAAAGGAATTCATCACTACTGGAACTCTGTTCGTTTTTTCCTGGGGCCTTAGCCAAATGGAAGACGCCGCTTTTTTCTCATTCGAGAAGCTGAGGACCAGTTGCACCAGAGGATCCTCAGCGCCACCAAGGTCGCACCGGTTTTCCGTCGGGTTTCTTGGTTGGGCGTGGGGTTTCGGGGGGGGGGGGGGAATTTTGGGAATGGAATCTAAGCATACACTCGACACCTTTGAGAAGGCCATTTGTTTTTGTTTGTTTCCGTATTTTTTTATTTTTTTGCGGGGCGGGGGGGGGGGTGGGTGGGTGGGTGAGGGGTTGGCCTTTTGGGATGACCTTTTTTTTTGCGGAGAAACTTCTTGGACGGTTGGCCATCTAATAAGGTGGGGTGGATGGACGTAAGTTCTCGCAAAAGCCAGGGCGACCCGAGCCCTCTTTGGGAAACACGTAGCGTCCTTAGGGGTTACATGCAGCCTAGGAACTCGCACTTGGGGACACATGCCCTGATTCCTTTCAGAATTGGCTCGGGGGATTGCTTTCTGTCATAGTCCCGTGTGCAGTCGCACCAATCCAAACCACCAACCAAGGGTGACCTGTTTTTGGAACCCAGTATTAGTTTGAGTTCCACACACAAAACAGGCAATCTTCATCAGGCATGGCCTTGGTCGCAAGATCGTATTTCTCATTCCCGAGTTTTTGGATTCTTGATCAACAAGTTGGGTCCCGACATGCTAGATCATTTTCGCGGCATACAGTTCAGCTTTTCCCTTGTGGTTCTAAGGACAAAGTCCACCAGATGAGATTGGCTTGAGTATGTGTTTCGTTTGAGCGGGAAAGAATATGGGGTCTTGGAATTCCACTATTGAATATATATATATATATATAGGATGTTTGAAGCATTTAGGCGTTCTGGGAAATAATGTGGATGCGATTTGCGTGGATCCACCCCTGTAGAATATTCAAAGAGTACTAGAAGAGGCCGAAAAAAAGGACCCACAGGGGGAAGAACATGTGAAATCCACAAAAAGCGCATCCAAACCGTTTCTAGAGGTATATTTGGGATGATCCCAGCCTAAACCCTGCCATGGCAGGTCGTTTGATCTAAGGGCCAACTTGCATACCCCAAATGGACACATACCGTACTTATAGGCCTTATACTGGGATGGTTTTGGGGTATGTGCCCGGTACTATGTACAACCACAAAGTTTGGGGTATGTCCATTTGGGGTGTGCAAGTTGGCCCGTGGATAGAAATATTCGGAGGGCACACCTGGACGGATGAACGACGCAGGAGATGTTCGATCTGCACAAGCACTCCCTTGGCTGGGGTGACAAAGAGATGCAGTTCGTGTAAATCTGGAAGCTGTGGACCTGCGCCACAGGGAGCTGTACGCCCCCATTCGTACCCGTGTGGGTCCTTATTTGAGTCTCAGGGTTTTTGTATAACACCCTGGGATTACATCCTTGGGAAATAACCCAGAATGGTTCAAAATAGCACGGTTTTATCCGGAAATGTGCCTAAATGGGGTCAATGCCCAGTGGGTGTATTCGCAGGGTGTAATACGAAACCCTTCGATTGAGTCTGGGAGTCAAAGTCAGCTGGGGCTCGCTTCCTGAGATCCTGGACTTGAAACTTTTTGGGTAGACTACTTTACTAGATCCCTGAGTAGTGCCCTTTTACCGACTTTTTTTGGGGGAGGGTTCCCCGACTAATTAAAGTAAACTACAGAAGAAAAAAAGGTATTTATCCCGGCTACAGAAGCACCTAGTTTAGGAACCACTTTGGGGATGAGCTTCATGGGAAAATGATGAGGCCAGTCTTTGCAGGGCTCCCATTTGATTTGGACAGTCCTATGGAGTTGTGGAGAATGATGACGATGGGTGAAGATATCCGAGGATCAACCTTTAGCAAGGTTTGGATCGATGGATGGAGATTGCGCAACTGGAGAAATCAGCAACTGTTTCATGAGGTGTTGGAAACTGCGTAAGCCCTAAGTGCTGGTTCAAGACTCTCTGTGTTTTTTTGGGGGGGGTTTTTGAACTGCATGGCCTGTTGGTTGCCAATCCAAATGAGCTGTTTTTTGGGCAGGGACACATATAGGACACCCTGGTCTAAACTTGCATTGGTCGAACATCCACAGTGTGGTTGTTTGATTCCCCTCTTGAATGTGTGGCAGCAGCAAGAACCCGCGGCGTGGACAAGTGCCGCGTGCTGTGTAGAAGGCGTTGGGGCGCCGAACCCGTTTCCGCAGGCGCGCGGTTGGCTTGGCTGGGCCGATCTAGATGGCGACTCTTGATGGATCTTCATGTGGGTGTGGGTTGAAAAAGCAAAAACAAAAACACCAGACTGCAGACCCTGGTCCTTTCCTTTTACCAGAACAACCAATCTTGGCGCTAGGTCCTCCAGTGGTGCCGTTTTATCCTTTGTGGGGGAGGGTTCCCCTGCTAAAATAAACGACAGAAACAAAAAAGCTGCACCCCTATTCTAACGCTACTGCAGGATCTTCAGTTGGGTCAAAATAAAGCCACCAGACCGCAGGTTTTAGTCTTTGGCCCATGAAAGGTGAGTGTCCCTTGGCGGGGGTGATGTTTTAAGGGGAAATATAGGAAGCCAAATGGCAAGACACCATCCTTCAAGCCACCAATCAGGGGCTTCTTGCACACATGATAAGTCAAACAGCCGAAGTCCATCACCAGTCCCATGCATCCATCTTCCCAGCGCTCTCTGAGAGATCGCTTTATCGCCAGCAGGTATCAGACTGGCAGAATGTCGGCCCAGGATGGAAGTACCGGGTGGATTCGTACAGCGGTTGGACAAACAATCCACGCGGGTTGGGGATGAATACATCCGCGCGAACACTTGGAATGTCCACCTCTTCGTGATCTTTTGTCCATTCCCATTAGCCACAGGGGTGGCGGTACTTCAACGGAAAGCGCAGTACTCTACGTTATTGTTTGTCAACCGTGGCTTTGCGAATCCTGGGTTCACATTGATCCCTTTGGGTGGAGTGTCAGTGCAGCCGTTGGGCTGCACATTCTCCGCTTCAAAAGAAAGATCGCGCAAAGCGCTGCAGTTGCCCTTGCTGTTGCTTGCGCTCTCGTGGGCTGCTGTTGAGAACTGGCTGGGGGCCACGGCCCAGCCTCCCAGCCTAGGTGCACGGCTAAGATGCAAGCCGTCACAACCTGGGAGAGGGGGTGCTGGATGCTGAACCAGCGTCAGGTCCGGTTACCTAGGCATGATTACAGGGGAAGTGAACCAGTTAGTTAACCCGGTGACAACCGTCAGCTAGGCGGGTTGATCATCCAAAGTCCAAGGGGATGTTGGCCTCCCATTGGCAGCCCAAAGGGGCAGCCACGCGACTTTTAAGGCACCCGCCTCGTGCGGTGGCAAGGGAGCTTTGGGCATCACCGTGGTCATACCCCGCTACAGGTTGCGCTTGTAACCCAGGCAAAAGGCGGCTAACATGCGAAAAAAAGGCCGCTTTGGAAGTGGTTCGTCTCGAACATGGGCAACCCCGGGAGAACTGGTTTCCCTTTAGTCTACCTTTAAAACCCCAAAAAGGGGTTCCCTCAAAAAGAGGCACATCCAAGTGCTCCAACTGATTCTATACAAAAGCAAAACGACCCAAACTGACCTTTAGTTTCCCCATTTGCGGTTCAATTTTTTGGTCGTGGCCCTAGGTGATCGAGCCCCTAAGGATCAACGTGATCAAACCACCCATGAAGAAGCCTAGCCTTGGGGTGCGGAAGGAATGGATTCTGCCTGGAGTCTCCACCCTTAGAAAAATGGCTGGTCATTGCCCAAAATAAAAAAGGGGTCATGGACGAGCTTCTGAGCTTCCGCGGGGCATGTCGCAAGGTCGTGGAAGGTTTTGGAAGCCCCGCGGAAGGACAAGCCCCATATGGCTGTGGGTCAAAAATGCGTACCCAAAATAGAACCCTGATAAATGGAAACATGGACTCAAACCTGCGGTCCCCTGGTGATTTAATTTTGACCCATACCCACATGACAAATGGTCCTTGAGATTTTGGGTCACCGCTCCACTGAGTTACTTCCATTAGCTGAAATGAATATGTTTGATTTTTTCCCCCTGTTGGTTTTAAAGGGAATCGATTTCACTACTGGACATATTGTCTCATTTTGCCCCGGGGCAAGAAAGCCAATGATGGTTGCCATGTTTTAGTCACGGCCGTAAGAATTGATCGCCGGGTCCCTAAGCTTGACTGCTATTGGGTTGGATCTTTCGACTTTAACTTTTTGGGAAATGAAGCAGTTTTCCACTAAACCCACAGAAAGTTAAACTTTTTGCAGAGGGGCCAACAGCAACACAGTAAGGGGCAACTGAGTTATGACGTCAAACAAACTTTCCCACGCCGCGGCGCTTCGTCCATGTCGCGAATGCCTGAGATCTTTGGACTCGCCACACGGGGGACGAGAAGTACTGGGCGCAGATTCGGAACGCCCAGCAGTTGCTGCCGAGCTCTCAGAGGACTCATATGATGCATATACCTATGTGTTGCATAGAATGTGTGTGTGCGTGAATGTAAATCATACATATATATATATATAATCATATATATATATATGCATACATATATGTTTTATATATTTCTATGTACATATGTTTTACATATTTAATACAATTTTATATATATATATATATTCATATGCACATATACACATATACACACATACATATACACATACATATATACATTTACATACATATATATATATATATATAGATGTTTGTACACACACATAAGTATATATATATATACAGATGCGCACATATGACTATGCACAGGGGTATTTGTCAAACGGGTGAACCCAAACTAAGTGAGGGTTCTCATTGTCGTTTTCTTTAAACAACTTCAGCACGGGTACCGAGCCTCAAAAACACCCATATGCCCATGTATGGTGGCTATGGTCCGACGGACAACGGATGCGGAGCAAGGTCCACTTTGGTCAGTTCTTGCACGGCCTGAGCTAGGATTGTACCCCAATTCATGGCAGTATACGTTTTCAGCCTTTTGGGGCCCCAAAAGGCCCAAAAAGCCTTCAGCACTTATTGGAATGAGCCTACAAAGGGTTTGCAATTCTTTCTTTACCTCTCGGGCTGGGAGAGTGGGAGAGGATGGTTTGAAATTGAGCACGGACAAGCAGTCGGTGACTCCTAGCCACTTTGTCGTTTTGGCCCTTTGGTTGTCCCTTTGTAGCCCAAGGGTCGCCAGTGACAACTTGTGGGATTGAAGCAGCTATTTTTGGGGGCGCGCTACCCCAACAAATCAGGTTCTGTGCGGTTCTTCTGGGACGGCCGTTCTGGACCAAATCGGGTCACCACGAGACTATTCATCATCTCCCTGAGTTTCTGGACTTTGTGCTCTTTGGCTAGGTCCCCCAGCTAGGTGCCCTTTTACCGTTTCTTTTTTGGGGGAGGGTTCCCCTACTAGACTACCGAAAAAAAGTTGGTACCAACTTATTCTAACCTCCGACTACTGGAGGACCTTGTTGGGGAGGTTTCCCAGCAGTTTTTAGACTTGGGCCAATCTGCGCAGAAAGTGAGTCAATGGAACTGCCGCGCTTGGCAGCCGTAGGACTTCAACAGCCTAACAACAGTTGCCCAGCAAAAGCAACAGCCCAACAAAACCATCAGCCCAACAGCCAACACAGCCCACAACCCAACAACCCAACAGCCCCTCGAATTTTCGAGCGAGGTTTCGCAGCATTGGCACCGAGCTGTCCCTGAGCGAAGCGGCGTCGCCCAACGAGGTGGGCAACTGGAGGTGCTACGACCTTTTTGCTGAGTCCCTTTAAGTGGCTACATGTCGAGGGGTTCAAAAATTATGTTGTCCCGGTGGTTGCCTTCAAACCTGTATTTAAAGGTATTTTCGAGGATGTAACCTGAATGGACCCAGTATTCGTGTCGTCGCGACTCAATCAGAGCTGAGGGAGCAAGACACTGCTTTTTTTTCCACAGGACCCAGGATCCACAACCCGGCCCCTTTTTAGCGCCTCTTGCTCCCTCAAGAAGCTTTCCAGGCTGCATTGGGTTGACTATGACTATCTCCTGTTTGATTGCGTGCCCAGACCCCAGTGCTCATTGCAACCAAAGCGAACCGATCGGATCTGTGGCCCCAAAAGGTTGACCTTTTATCTCCAGGTCCCTGAGGGACTGAGAGTGGGTGGCTTCCTTTTGTCGACTTTGGTTTGGTCTAAACGGTGCCTTTGTTCCATAACCTCCGAGGATCATTTGGTGTATGCTTTGTGGGCCAATGCCTTCCGTTTAACCTACCTTATAATCAAGGTTTCAGGATTAGACCAACCCTTTGTGCAAACCATGGTTCTGCGTA